TTTTTTTTTAATCAAAGAGGTCATCAAATGTTTTTCTGGGACTCGATAGCATATAGGTTTTCAAGTTTCTTTTAAAAGAATGAATATTCCTTATATTTTGAATTAGTTTCGGAACAGTATTATATACCTTTGGAGCCATAAAGGCAAATGATCTCTGCCCAATTGTTTTTGCCCTAAAAGGAATATTATATTTATCTTTCTGTCTAGTGACATATTTATGTGTTGGTAAACTGTCTACAGATTTAATTCCATGATATTTAACATTTAAGTTATAAAAGTATAATTGTCTTACATCAAAGACTTTCGCTTCTATATATAGAGCGTCCGACGGAAATTTCGTATCTTTGGAAAGTATTACTTTCAAAAATCTTTTTTGTATAATATTTAAAGGAGTTAAATAACTTTTTGTTAATCCGCCCCAACCCAGTATTCCATAATTTAGATGACTTTCGACAAGAGCATGGTAAAGAATTATAAGCTGCTGAATACTGAGAATATTTTTTAAATATTTAAATTTGTATAGTATGAACTGAAGTTTCTTTAAAACATAGTTAATGTGTATATCCCATCTTAAGTGGATGTCTATATATACTCCCAAATATTTGATTTCATTTTTAGGTAAGATGGTATATGACGTAGCTTCCGTATTCATCCTTATACAGTCAAAAGGAGGTAAATTGACCTTAGTGCAACTAAAAGGTAAATAATTCGTTTTTTCAAAGTTAATCGTTAAGAGCTTATAATCAAACCAGTTCTTCATAAATACCAAATCAGTTTCAACAATTTCTTTCAGCTCATCCCATGACTCCGATTTATAGAATATGGCAGTGTCATCTGCATATCCAATGATCTCTCCTTTACTTGGAATCGAAAACAAGTCATTTATATATAAGGAGAAAAGTATGGGACCCAAAACAGTACCCTGTGGAACCCCATAGTCTACCAGCATTGGACTACTCAACGCACCATTCACTCTTACGCACTGATGTCTATTTGATATGTAACTTTCAAATAATTTTAAACAATTATTTCTAATTCCACAGTCCTCTAGCGACTGTAAGAGTAGATGGTGGCTGACCGTGTCAAATGCCTTCGAAAGATCCAGGAAAACACACAAAGCAGGTTTACTTTCATCCAAAGCAGAGTAAAATTTCGAACTGAGAGCTAGAAGTGCATCTTGTGTTGAAGTTTTTTGTTTGAAACCGAACTGTTTATCAGAGAGCAGGTTATATTTATTGACAAATGAGATAAGTCTTTCTTTTAGTATTTTTTCAAATATCTTAGACATATGAGTAATTAATGTTATTGGTCTATAGTTTGTAGCTATATTTCTATCTCCATTCTTGAAAATGGGTATAACGACTGTTTCTTTAAATGAAGAAGGCCATAGACCATCATCTATACATTTATTAAATAAGAAGGTCAAAGGTTCAGCTATAAAATCCGATATTAATTTCAGTACCTCCGCTCTTATATTATCTAATCCTACACTTTTTTTATTTTTTAACTTCTATTAATCTCTTTATTTCTAAACTATCAGTGGGAAACATAACCATAGAGTATGTAGTGGAAAAACTTACCGGGTTGAATTCAGCATTTATAGGTATTTTATTTGCTAATTGACTTCCTATTTTCGCGAAAATTGAATTAAATTGGTTTGCTATGGCTTTGCTCTCTGTTATTGGGTCTCCGTTTAGATCATTTATAGAATTTATAGTTTTGTTATTTTTTTGCAGTCTCTCAGTTCCTGAATTACATTCCATAAACATCTAGTGTCATTTTGATTATCGTATATTTTACCTTTATAGTAATCATATTTATCTTTTTTTATTAAAAGAGTTAATCTGTTCCTGAATATTTTATATTTTATTTTTTTTCGAACATCATTTGAATTATTTTGTAGGTCCCTAAACATGGTATTCTTTTTATGAACAGATTTTACTAATTTATTGGTAATCCAATGTGATAGTTTTGTATTTTTTCTTCTTATTCTAATTGTTGTCGTGGCCTCCTTAATTACTTTAAATAAAACATTAATAAATTTATTTATTGCGGAATCAGTCTCAGTATAAACAGAATCCCAAGAGACCTTATCATTATTAATTTTCTCAACATAAATTGGATTTTTTTTTGGTTTGTTCAGAAGACTCCATTACAATTTGTAACACTGTCGTAAAATGATCAATAATATTTGTTTGTATGACTATAGGCATTAGTAGGTCATAGTTGTTTAATTTTGATTCAATAAATATGTGGTCGAAACAGGACTTTGTGTTTCCCCGTATTCTTGTATAATTATTGATTGCCGAAATAAATCCGAATTCATTTAAAGTATTTAGAGATTCTATACTGTAATTGTTTTTGTCAAGAATATCAATGTTTATGTCTCCAATAAAAATACTATAATCCGATAGACCATGTTGATTATTTTGCAGATGGGTTTGTAAATTCATAATAAAGGTGTTTATATCCGTAGCCGGAGGTCTAGAGTGTAGCTTAAGATTTACAACAACCATATTTAAATAATCAATAGGTATAATAGAATAAGAATAGTCGACGTTTTCTTTAATATATGTATATTACAACACCATCGTTTTGGTTTATTTTTCCGTTATTATATATCAAGCAATAGCCTGCAATATTGTATAAATCTATACAATTAATTTGCCATGTTTCGGTCAATACTATACAATCAATGTCACTATCCAAATTACACAAAAAAACCATGAATTCATCCAAATTCTTATTTATGCTCCTTATATTATTGTGCAGAATTTTGAAGTTATTTACATTTTTATTTATTGCGAGTATGGATCTACATTCAGAACAATCCAATAAAGTATAAGTTTCTATCTCTTTTATTTCAAAATCTCTAATATATTGATCCATAGAGGTTTAAGTTTAAACATAGATATAATAAACAAACAGAATAGATATAGGTACTTAAAAACAAATTACATAGATAATAGATAAAGGATAGGAGATATAGATAAAAAAATATATTATTTGTTTACAGAATTTGATCTTAACTTATTTTTATTACGGAGTTTTACTACCTGAGATGATATCTGAGTTTCCGATCTCTTTCTATTCTTTGGTGTTGCAATTTTTGTTAATTTGTCAGTTATCGTTGGGAATCCCCGAAAAGAAGTGGTAGGTTCTGAAACTTTTTCTTCTCCTGATGCGGATTTATCTTTTCTGTGTTGAGCTATTTGACTAGGAGTAGCAGGGGCACTTTGAGATTTTTCTTCTATTAAAATTTCTTCTTGGTTATCTTGTTCTATAAGTTGCTCTGCAGTGTAAATCTCGCCATTTACATGCAGTTTATTGTGTTTTATAAAACAATTATTGTCACTAGATTGCTTCGCAACTGCTAGGTGTTTCCTTAGTACTTTATTCTGTTCACGTTGCAGAGGTGTAAGATCGTTTGCCATATATATGTTAGTTCCTTTCAGTTTTGGACAAGCTCTTAGTATTTCTAACTTTTTAAGATAGGAAAGATCAATTCCAGTTTGATCGGACTATCTTTATTTTTTCCCAGAGTGTATAGATTGTTAATATCAGCTTCTTTCAAATTTACATCAAGTATTGTGTTCAGTTCACTAATAAAGGAGTGAGAAGTAAAATTCTGGTTTACTTTATTAAATCCGAAGATTATTAAATTATTTTTCTTACTTACTCTCTCTAATAATTCAGCTTTGTCTTGTAAAAGAAAGTTCTGGTTTTCTAACTTAGTCACTCTAACTTTTAAATCTTCGAATTTTAGAAGAATTTTTGTTTCTGTAGCTTCTATATAATTTTTAATGGATGTTCTATTATTAATCACTTCTTCATATATTTTATTTATCGATATATTTATATCTTCTGTCATGCTGACAAACTGACAAGTGTAGTGCATGTATTGCTTTAGACCTGTGTTTCTTGCTCGACAAAAACTGAATATACAAAAAATGCGTGTCTCTCTAGTAAATTATGGTTAGCTTGGGTCTTTCCCGTATTCTATTAATTATTAAAGGATGCCTTCTTACTCACTGGTTGTAGTAGCGGTTTACTTGTTGACTATGTAAGTTTCATATAATATATTTATATATTACACTTCAGAAATAACTTATAATTTTGAGAGCACCATTTTAGGTATGTACAGGGTGATTCACTATATTTTGACCCCCCCATTAACTTGTTTGTTTTTAGAGTTATAAAAAAATGTGAAATACAAAAGTTGCACGATTTTTTATGAATTTTTCGAAAATAATAGTAGAAAAACAAATGAAGTCCAAACAAAATGGCCGCGGATGCCAACTTTGTTAATTTAAATGGAACACCCTGTATATTTTTATATATTTAGACAGAAAGTTCTCTGTCGAACATAGTCATATAGGGTTTGTTGGGTCCATCTCTAACAATAAGCGAGATACTATTAGAAAAAGAAAATAAGGTTTTTTATTAAGAAAATAAGATAATTTGTAATTGTTAGACCTCTTTCAGGCATGTCTGCCTTTTTTCCAATTACGTAAAGATTTACAGATTTAGTTGTAATATATTTTCACATATCAGACATTGATATGGTCCAAAATGCGTACAGGTATTTTTACTAAATCTCACTAATTAGGCCGTGAGAGGCCTAATTACTCATGGACAATGTTATATGGTAGGCCGTGACAGTGACAGCTAATGTCATGATAACATTGTTATTGTTTGACAGTTTGTATTATTATTTAATTAAAATGGGTTACATTGAACGAGAAAATTGAAATATAGGAATTAAAATAGAGTAAAGGTCATCTCCATACTCTATTTTAATTCCAAATAATAATTCAATTTTCTACTTCTGTGTAAGCTATTTTAATTATTAAATAATAATACAAAGTGTCAATCAATAACAATGTTATTATGACATTACTACCTGTCACTGTCACGACCTACCATGTAACATTGTCCATAAGTATTAGGATTCGCACGGCCTAATTAGTGAGATTAAGTTAAAATACCTGCATTTTGGATCGTATCAATGGTCCGATATGTCAAAATATATTACAACTAAATCTATAAATCCTCAAGTAATTGGAAAAAGGGCAGAAATGCGTGAAAGAGGTCTAACAATTACAAGATATTTTATTTTCTTAATAAAAAACATTATTATCTTTTTTTAATAGTATCTCGCTTATTGTTAGAGATAGGCTCAACAAACCCTATATGATTATGTTCGACAGGGAACGTTCTATCCAAATATGTAAAAATATACAGGGTGTTCCATTTAAATTAACAAAGTTAACATCCGCGGCCATTTTGTTTGGACTTCATTTGTTTCTCAAATATCATTTTCGAAAAATTCATAAAAAATCGTGCAACTTTTGTATATTACATTTTTTTATCTCTTAAAACAAAAAAGTTAAAGGGGGGTCAAAATATAGTGAATCACCCTGTACAACTTAGGCGATCCACAATACCTCATTATTCTAAAAAAAGACCTTGCACTATTTTACTAATTCTAGGAAACTTTAGGAATACTTAAAGAAGATATATTTCACTTGGGTTTTCAAGATGTGGTTACGATTGTACCACTGTAGTTGTAATATTTCAGTAGAAACCGTAGAAATTCATTCCAAACCCACTCTATAAAAAATTATATAGGTCAAATGTTAGTTGACCTATTCCATAATTCAACTCAAGATATACTCAATCGATCTTTTGCAATTAAGACAATGTTGCAAAATTTGACTACGAGTAACATTCCCATCCCATCCATTATATTATCGACGAAAAACTTAAAGCATAATGTATACAGGGTGTCCAATGGGTTTGTAATTCATTATCAATTTTTGACCACAGAAACCATTTTAAAGCGTAACACATGTAGTTACTTTTTATGGTTTCAATATTTCATTTGTTGACAAGTTGTAGTTATTGTATCTGCTTCATGTCATTTATTCCGTTTATTAACAGGGCCCTACGAAGTGACGAGCTGCAATAAAGCGCCTAAGCAGCTGGGTGGCGATCCCGAGATAGCGCCCCGCACACGTCGAACACGCGTTCCCTCAAGCATATCGCTCTCCCACACTGCAGCACGTCAATCAAATATAGCTTAATTTAATATATTAGACTCATGGTTAATCATGTTTACAGTCCACCTTGTGGGCGAGAACTTCATTTTAAGTA